CATGTATGAGGAATAGAGTCATAGGCCTTCTTATAGTCTATCCAACATGTCGACAGATCCTTACGGGCACGTCGAACCTGTTGGCTGATGGCCATATCAATGAGGAGTAGCTCCTTAGTACCGCGGGATCCGTTCTTACATCCATTCTGAGCAGTTGACATGATTTTATTTTTGTCAATATGACTATTAATTTTACTTCTCAGTATGGATGTAAGAACTTTATAGACCGTCGGCAGACACGTGATCGGTCTATAATTTTTGGGTTCCGCAGTACTACCTGATTTATGGAGCAGGTGGGTTACTCCTGTCGTTAGAAACTTGGGCAGCGATCCTGACTCTACGGCAGACTGGAATTGAGATGCTAAACGAGCGTGCGCCCTTGTGAACCACTTGATCCAGAAATTGTGCAGTCCATCCGGCCCTGGAGATTTCCAGTTAGGCAACGGACGGACTGCACGAGCAACATCTTGGGGACTGATGTTAATTGTCCCCATTTGTGGTATTGGATCGCACGCGCGTTCGACATCCCGAATCCAGTCACCCTCAGTGTGACTGACAGGCACCGACCAGATGCTGCGCCAGAATGAACACATGGCGTCATCATCCGGGAGGCGTCTATCAGTCACACCATGGTCCGGTCGCTCCCAAGTCCTATACACCCACCTTTCATTACTCCGGAATGTGCGATTCTGGGTATATCGTTCCACCCGTCGCCTGTACCTCCGAATACGGTTTGCCCATGCATATACTTTCTGCTTCAGAAAGTCGATGCGCTCTGTGACGCGGGACATATAGTCTCGGGGGCTGATATCTGTCCCCGAAAATGCCCGTCTCACAGAGCGCATCACTCTGGGGCGGGTGTTACCTTCCCTGAAACAGATTAATTTGCCGATGAGTGCTCTGGCCCCAGCAATACGACACTCAATCCTGCGCTGCCAGGCCGGTACAGCTGGTTTCGGTCGTGTGGTTACGTCATTAGTAGGGAATTTGACGTGAGCCACACGACATGCCGCTACGGCCGCGCAGTACATTATCGAGTGTGTATCACCGAGGTCTTCGCAGTCATCTAAATAATTAGATAACTGCGAATCCAGTGCAGCCACCAGCGCTTTATTCTTGTTATGCATGGGCAAACGAGGCAAGCGTGGTCTGAGTTCGGGTGATATGTAGCGATATTCCCGAATCGCATATTCCAAAGCACTCCTCAATTCATCAATGCACTGGGTACTTACGTGTGTAACCGTATCAGTACTTTCCTCATCAGCGACGGCACTAACAATACCGTGGCTGGTCAGTGGCAAAGTCGCTGGCACCACAGTCCGCGACGAGGAGGCACTGGCACGGCTACCCATTTCCGTTTGAAGGCGATCAAGCACAGTATCGTCCAGCATACGGTTACGCTGGATGACCCGCACCTGATCCGACAGTCGTTGAGCTGATACGTTGACGGTTGGCTCAAGCACCTGAAACAGAGAGAGCATCCGAACACGGTACGCGGTCAGGTTGTTTCCTCCCTCTGTAGCCCCATAGTATGCGCGCATGACGTTTTCGTTTATTGATTGCGTCCATCGCATGCGCTGCACACGATTAATATTACTGTTAAAAATATCGAATTAAATAAAAATAACAATATCGAAACGCTTCGATTCAAATGATCAAATATCAGCGATCACAAAACGAAACAGGACGAGGCATCCATTAAACAGATAGACAAAACATTAATTCTATGTGACGTCATAATGAGAAGATAACAGCATATTGTTCTATCACAAATTGATAACATTACGATCCGTGCTCACTCGCTCGATCCCATCCCTATAAGACTACAATGGCTGCCTCCTTTGATACAGAAATTGATTTAACAAACAAAGACAGTCCTAGAACAATTGATATCGAGTTAGTTATGATTGGCGTCCCGTGTATGTAAGATTATTAGCCATAGCTCGATATCGAATATCTTGTGTACCTTATTAGGCACGGTTTAATAACCGTAAAGCCCTTAATCCTTGGTAGGAACAGGTGGTACCTTCACAATTGTTCCAGATATTATCTATGTGTTCATAACGATAGTTGTTCTGAAGATTCTTGAACTATCTCATTTGAAAAGTAACTTAGAGCGACTTAGGTCAGCTGATTCTTATTTTAGGATCCATTTAGTTTTTCTTACACCTATCAGTAGAACATAATAGATCATATGTAGAAAGTGAAAAAAACTAAATAGAAGAGCAAATGTGATTAAGTATACATTTATTTACTTATACAAGCGGCACACCCCAACTTCGCCTGGTTACTACATATTTCGATCGTGTCGAATTTGTGTAATAAAAACGAACACTACAAAATAATTTTTAATTTTGGTACAGTTATTCGACAGTTATGTGTACATAAAACTACATTATTTGTAAATTTTTACTATCACATTGTATAAAAATACTTAAGTATTACTTAAGTATTAGACTATTACAAGCACACCTTTGTCTAGTCCTTTAGGTCATACATATTAATATGTTAAATTATATACCAGTATATGTATGGTATGTATATGCGTGTATGTTTTCAATCACAAATATCAAACCATATTTTCCCTGAGCGCGCCAAATCGAGGATTACCACAGACAACGGGGCGTTATTAATCTGTGGACAATCTATAAATAACTAAAGAATTATTACAGCTTTTACGTACAATATGTTTTTGATATGATTAATGTTTTCGTATGAAAGCAATTTGATACGTTTGGTGGATTTACACAGAATTATAATTATAATCGTACGAGTATTTTACTAACTACGCCCACGGGTCCGCCCGCGTTACCTGTGTGTAAATGAAGATATAGGTATATACACATACAAGTCACGGTAGTTCTCAACTTGGTCCAACTTAGTTAAGTTTCGTGATTAGGTTAAATTCTTAAAATAAAAAAAAAATAAGAACATTTAAATACACTTTACCCTACACAAGGAGTTTCTACATGTGTGTGTATGTCACGTCATGAGTGTGTTTACAAGCATAACACATCAGACCCAGACTTGGAGTAATGATTTGTAGATCGGTCCAAATAATTGTTTGAAACGAAACGCGAAACTTTTCACTGCAACCTGTGGCCAATTGTAGGGCAATCAGGAATCACGGCCTAGGTCTAGAGCAGGAGAAGGAACGTAGTGGATTTAAATCAGTAAGAGTCCTCTTCTCACACTGTACACTCTTCTCACCTTGGACGTCAGATAACATTCGATGATTCACACCCTCAAATAAGAGACTAGTTTATGCCCGCAGATTCTACCTATCTCACACTATTGCACCCTACCCTTCCTTTAAATAATTGGTAGGTAGGCAGGAGAAGGTTATTCTTAGGACTCTTACTCTTGAAAATTGCAAACACTATGCAAAAGAATTAGCAAAATCAGTTTAGCGCTTAACACGACATTGGCGGTTTATCTTTATATTAAAGTAGATGTTACTGTTTAATTGCTTAAACAAGAGAGCGGTTAATATAATATAAAATGTGTACGTCAGAATTATACGAAATACCGAGTTACAAAATATTGCAATTAAAATTTCGTTGTTAAAATATTATCATTAATATATTTTCAGAACATTATGTCCATTATAACGTTAATTCCAAATAATGGTTATTGCTCCCCAACCATCAAACTTTGGCCCGCAATCCATTAACTAATAAACGAAATTGGAATATTTGACCAACCGTTGAATAATAAACAAAAGATATGAATGTTAATTACTCAGATGTAAATTTAACACCTTTCTCCCTTTTTGTCATTTATTCACAAAGCTTCTCAATTCATTGGACCCGAAAGCGGATTAATTTCCATTCATACAACACATTGTGATTTTGGTACAAAATTTCCAATTAAAATGGCTAGACCTAGACTTTGTTAAGTACACACGGTTGAATAAACACGCGAATATTCGCACGCTTTTGTCAAATAACTTAATAGTTAGAGTTATAGAATTAAAGCGCAAAGTTCAATCACAGAAGATAGTTGCGTTGAGCCCAAGCATTAATTCGAAATAATAATATTCGAAGTTTGAACATTTAGAGTACTTCAACAATTCTTAGGTAGGTACAACACTAACACTAATGGTAAACAAAACGCCTCAGCTCCGACATTTCATTAGGAAAACAAGCAAAATTAATTTTCTCGTCTCAAAGCATTCCGAATTATATTGAAATTGATATTAAAAGTGAGTCGGCCCAAATTGTTCGTTGATTGAATGAATCAATTTATCAAAACTTATTTCGATATTGAAATTCGATTTCAATAATAAAATATGGAGATGGAAATAATAAATACGACTAAGGAACATGGTATCTTTAAAAGGGATAATTATTTTAATTGGATACATTAAGGCCTAATTGCAATGAGATCTCTGATGGTATTTGTTGAAACATAGAAGGATATTAATAAAGAAGTTATGAGTCAGGAATTAAAAAAAAACATAAACTTTCTTTATTCAGTAAGCAAAGTCGTGATAAATTGAGGATTTCATTCACGAGGACTCGTACTTCCTGTTTCAGGATAGATTACAAAGTTTTTTCGGATAAGGAAATACAGCCCAAGTTTCCTTTCGGACTAACAAGATAAATGACATTTAGAAGTTCCACCATGTATTATCTGGTACGATACCTGAAGCCTACGAAGCGTGTGCATCGATGGGACTTAACTTTGAGTAAGTTATCGAAGTAACGTAGTTAGAAAGGAATAGTTAAAAAGATCACAATGCCATACTGTAAAAATGAAGAACGCAAAAAAATAACACAAACAATTATGAACGATCGTAGTCGTAGTTAAGAGATTCAAAACCTTAAAATCACATACACTTTAAACACTAGGACATTTTCGGCCGATTTATGCCTTAGATTTCGTCCACAAGTCAATCTGACCGTAATATGGATATGGACTGTCTATAGTAAATAGATATAGGAAATTGAACAATTGTTCTAGTGTTGTAGAATAAAATAAGGCAGTGAATTCCTTACCTGTACTCGCTGACATCTGATGAGACTTTGCGTATGCGTAAGTATCCTTAAAACCATGTGCTCGATAGTACTCTGTTCTTCAAACACCATTCGGGCGAGGTCCAATAGGACCTGATTTCTTTTCACCTCCAATTGGGATCTCTCGTAAAGCTGTGCATTCCGAAGGCCAATGCCGCAGAACTGAAGGTAGGATGAGAAGACCTTCTCATCGTAGGCCGTGAAGGGACCGTCACTCTGTTTGTTGATAACCTGTAAGGAAGAATAATATAAGTGTTTTTTGGTCTAAGGCATCATATTATGTATCGAGGGTCGCGTGATCGTAAGCGCAGGTCTGCGGACAGCGCGTACGGGATGCTCATCGCCCGACCAGAACCAGACTAAAGCGTACGGTACAGGCCGATATTGAGCTAGAATTGCGGGGCAAACGAAATAACAACACGGTCTCGGCCTGAAGCAAGGGAAGCAAAGGGGTGGTTTTTAGCCAGTAAGAGTCAAACACACCTTTTCGCCTCACCCTGGACGTGAGCAGCCATTCGATGATTCATTCCCTCAAAAAATAGAGTTATCAAAATCTTGTTCTATGGTTGTGTTCGAGAATGAGATTCAACGTACTTTACGGATATTTTGAAATTAAAAAAAAACATCCATATTTGGAAGCTCCACTTTCAAATATTTAATTCAATTAATGCTATCACTCTAAAAATCATTTTCGCTCAGCCCTTAATTTTCACCGACCCTAATTCGCAGCGAGATTTCAACTTTTGCGCAAAACAACAAACAAAATTTCTTGGGCAAATAAAAAAATCTGTCAAAACGACCCCAATATTTGATGCTCGTTAATCAAAAGGAAATTTATGTGCAAAAAATAAATGTTTGATTAAAAATTATCGCCATTCGCATTTCAATATTTGTTCGGAAGTGATGTTTGACGTTCCAATTCTGTTTGTACTTTAGGGACATTGTTAACGGCCAGATGGGAGATAAAAAAGTTGTGTGAACGTAACATCTTGCCTGTTATACTTTGAAGGGATTGAAGTAATCGTTAGAACACTAAATTTTGTTCGGAAATTACTAATTTAAAAGAAATCTCTCAGCCAATCAAGCAAAGCTGTTTGTGTCCTTAACATTTTCCTAATCCGGGAATCCGAGACCTTTCTTATATGTTCAACTCAAACATGACCAAAATGTCAATTTTTCATTTAAAACTTATTATGCTTAAGATGCTAGAAACTTCTTTGATTTCATATTTTTCTTGCTAAGCTTTCATTTCGCTGTTACACAGATGTTTTCGAAACAACATTTCAGAAAAAATGTAAACAGACTAAAATTAACTTAGTTTAGGACTTTCAGAAAACTAGATTTGTTCGTAATGGGATTAAAATATTAATGTTTAATTATTTAATATTAAAAGCAGAGCTATTTTTTTACATCTGACTGCGTATGTACCAATGTTATGTATTGTGGTGGTTGCCCGACTGCACCCTAGGAGTTTCAATCAGTAGCTTGAAGAAGATATTGTCCCATGAAAACATAAGGGACACATATAACTGATGAGTATATGACCAGAACAAAATTTATCGTGGGTGTCCCTTACTCTTTAGGAAAACAAAATGCGCAATATAATGTAATGAAGAGTTTGAACTGAAACTTACTGAAAAAGAAATAACCAACCAAAAAAACATTACAAGCAGATCCTTAACGATAATTTGTGCATTAAACACGCGATACGTTGCGCTGCAGCCGATTGCCCAACCACAGTTAATAAAACGGCTGACATATCTCACGGAATAGGCTTTTTGTTCCATAGTACTATGGCTTTTGGCGTATAGACTTTGACAAATGGCGAATCCATCGATTCGTCTTAATTATACGTGGCTTGTAGGTTTCATTATTTGGAACTTACCTACGTTCCGGCTGTGATTTTACTCAGACAGGCAGATATATATTATATATGTAGTTTAGGGGTTTAGTGAGACCATAAGGCTCCATACAATAACTTAAACTGTATGTTACTTTTACATTTCTTTACTTGACTTCTTCGGCATTCCTACGCTTGATAATTTTTTTGAGAGAGTGGTTGGATTCATTCTTCATCTTATACCGCCTTGGGACTAGAGACTACCCGGTTCCTTGTCCACGGGGACCACGGTAAAAAACTGGGCTTTTACTAGCAACCTAGGCCAGGCATTTGCCTGGTGAGCTTTGATTTGGAACAAAAATCTATTACAAACTGTGTAAATACCTGAGCAACGCCGATGACTTCTCCGTTGATGTCCTTAATGGGCATGCAGAGAAGTGACCTTGTTTTGTAACCCGTCTGCTGGTCGATATCGTGGTTAAACCTTTCGTCCTGAAACAAAAGAAATACTCCAATAAGAAACACAGCAAAAATAACTGTTTGTTGAACAGCAAAGGGACGATTATAGTCTATTCCTCAGACTATTAAAAACACTGGATACGTTTTTTTTTTCTTTAAATATATGTCCCGACAAATTAAGATATGAAATTATATTTTATACTTAACGTATTGTACCAACGAGCTTTACAAATATTAAATTCTCCACGTAATTATAAACATTTTTAAAAGGTTAGAATGGCAATTAAAACAAAACACCATCTGCACTTGACAAAATACAAACAAAACGTGACTTTGTTTATCATTAAATACCACCACAATACTCCGAGTAGTTTTTGCCTTCATCATCTTTATTACCACATCGTTCCATAGGATTAAGAGTGACTGCAGTAATAGCAGTTATTGAACAAGTCTTTAATTGAGCTATTATTACTGGACTGAATGGGACTTCTAAATGAAGTCACATAAGAACTAGGCCGTGTAATCGGAGTCGTGGCAGTGACCACAGACCGCAACCGTCCTCCGCAGAGCGCCTCTCAATATTATTACTTCTTCTGTTCCGTACAGTTCGTTTTGTTACGGAAATAACCACCATTCATTCATCTATACTCGTGAGCGGTACTGTGTTACTATTTTGGTATAACAATGCCTAGAATACAGAGGGAAATGCAACGCTGGATATAGTTCTTACTTGATCAATCGTTTATTATTCTTTTGTTTTCTTTTATTGATAAACGGTAAGTATAATGATAGTGAAGCTTCTAGTGTGGTTTTTTATGAGATCGGATGCCAAACGAGCACGCGGATTAAAACACCCAAATAGGACATTGCCGGCCTTTTAGAAATTAGGGTTTCAGAAATTTAGAGATTGGGGAAGAAGAGGAAGGGTTTGGTCTCCGTTAACGTTGGTTTTCTATGAGACAGTAGTATCACTCCGGTCGAGCCATTATTGCCAAAGCAAAACTCACCGAAACATAAAATTGTGGTGTATGAAAAATCATCAAATCTTTCAAATTTCAGGTTGACAGATATGAATAAGAAATTCTTAACGTTCGAAATTTCAAATGAAACACATCACGTACACACTACGGTACATAACTTGTTCAATAAAATTTAACAACCACCGTAAATCTGTCAACAATGAAACAAAGAATGCGGTTTTAGGAATTTGTTGTCACATCAAAACGATTCGAACGACTGGATCAGTCCCACAAAGCAATGCGAACACCGAATTTCTGGAACCACATTCGCACGCATGGATCCAAGCCAAAATTGGTTATACATATACTATAGCAAATCGCCGTTCATTACCAAAGCCTGTCATCCAACCAGATTGGGATTAAACCATCCATTGAGCTTTGGTATCGCACGTTAGGTAAATCCAACCGAATATTTTGGAGTTTAAGGCCGTTTGTCAAACGTCTGACCGGTATAAATCTGTCGACGAAATGCGAAATTGAAGCTGTAAAATCTTTTGGTGGCATACATTTCCGATGTGCATATTAATATCTGATTTGGTGCCATCTTGAATTTGCATTTGCAATAATACGTATCTTTGTAATAACAAACTAATATCGTACTTCTTCAACTTATTAAAATCAATAAATTAACAGTCAACGCCATCAATAAAGCTGATTTAAATGCCAGTTAGTTTTCAGGTTGGTAAAAATTGGATCATTATAGATTAACGCAAATATTTTTTTAATACACGCTAAAACAATGTCGAAACCTTAAACTTAAATAAGTAATTTTGCATTATTATTAGATCGGTCTCTGGTCTTGAATAATGTTAAGAAACAGATACCGAAGCAGTGACTAAGACGGGCTGCGTAACTCGTAAAACAATTCGAACCGCCATTACTGATTCAGACATTCGGTGGTTTAATTATTGATAGTAACCGCTTTCCACGTGTACCATTAATTTCAAGATGTATTTCCAATCATGTTATACATTCAAACCCGCATTTCGAATTGTCAACTAGACATAAAATTAATTAAATTATTACGTAGTGTGTTAGAAATTCTGTCAAATGAATTATACCAGTGTGGTATTAATTTTCTTATCGAATATTTGGCACGGAATCAAAAATTCTTCCGCATAATCAGCTCCTCTATTTAGAGGCTATCTTTGCGCAGCACGACCATAAAATTGTAAAAATAATAAAAAAATCTCACTCTTGCCAAATAGGTAACTTTAAACGAATGAATTACACGAAATTCAATTCGAAGTTTCCTTGCAAAAGAATTTTATATCACAGTGGGGTAGTAAACTACCTCTTTGGGAGTTCTTAGTCCAAATAAGAGTTCGCAGAAATCAAAATCTTACATCAAAATAAAACGTCAGTGATCGAAGTGCCATTTACGACCCTGATCTTGGGCGGATCGTAAAAGTAATAGGTACCAATTGGACGTTCAGGAATTCTAAATTCTTTCAAGCGACTGACTGTGTCAGTGTTAATATTGAACATCACAGAAATAAAAGCCCTTTGATACATTTCCATCGCAAATTCTATTTGTGCTTGACAAAATATTCATTTCGAGTCACACGACATGTTCAATCATACAATCAGAATATTCATTGGTGTCAAAAGATTCTTCAAAAGAGACTTTATTTTAAGATATATTTATTCAGAAATATTATAAAAAAGCTTGAATAATTCAGTATTTTTATAATATCTATTGAATAAACAGGACTCTCATTGCTTCAAATTTGTTGTACTCTATTTATGAATATAATATGAGGAGCTACTCACATTTTTGGCCTTTAGTGTATTAGTAATAGAATTTGAAATATCAATAACTTCAATCACTACGTTTTGAGCCATACAGAAACTGGCATAGTCTCGGCGTATTCCATTGTCATTCATCATCAGCCTTTAAGTGCTCTCACGTAGAATCGCTATACCTTCATTCATTCGCTACATTCAATTCAATTCTTTTTTCTTTTCATTCATTCATGTTATCGTTGTCTTTCAGTCAACAAAAATCTGTTTGTCAGTTGGGTCTAAATACACATCAAAAACTACATCCAACTTAGGTTAGGTCAAACTGATACTTGTCACGTTTCGAACCCGCACTGCCATATTTTGACTTAATCAATAAGTACTCGAATTATTTAGTCTTAAAAAGTAGCATAACGTAGCAATAGAACACAACTAAAGCATTTCTTGGGTTATCAGCAAACCATGAGAAGCCAGAAAGTGCAAATAACCCGGATTTCAATAAAAAAAGTAAAATCCCAAATCAAGAGTAAAGTAATTAGCGAAAAAGTTTTAGAAATTCTCATTTAATTAAAAATCGTAACACAAAGGAAGAACTTTTTATTTCTCTGTAACAGATTCGTGGCCGGCTTAGCGTAAAAGTGCTAATGTTAGGCTTGCCTTCCGAAGGCCCATTATCCCTTGAAAGTTACAGGATCCGCACCGCCACTATTGTCTACAAACTACTTTGGAACAACTTCTTAGCTAATAAAAGAAATAACAGTTTTAGGCCAAGGAAATGTACTAGGTACATTTTATATTTTATCTAATAGAAAAGTATTTTGAAGAACATTTTGTTCTAATTTTAGACATAATAGCTGCAGGCGTTTACTCCAAGTTGTGGCATGTTAAGTTTATTTAGTTTCTTTACGACCTTTAAACTCAGTGTCAAGTTTATCCCAGACTCAGGGGAAGGGGATCAAGCATAAAGATGTACCGCGACTTCGGCCTGAAGCAGAAGAGACGGTGTGGTTTTATTAGTAAGAAGTCTGCAACTGTCCCTCGCCCCACTCAGGGCGGAGAAATAAAATCATTCCCCCCCCCTCCACAATAAAGGCTTCTGCCAAAGTCTATGGATTAAAAAGATTTTATACATTTGTTTACCATAAATATATAAAATCTGTAGTGTCTGTGTTTTGGACACAGACACTACAGATTTCCACCTCACGACCACAGATCGATCCAGAGCTTTTCGATTACAATCTATTTTCTATATCATAAGTCTACAATTAATGTAAGGAACTCAAAAACGTATTCAAAGACGATTTAAAAAATAGTCAGAAACTAAAGGTCAAAGGCAAATTGCGGATGCGATGATAAATTCCTACCCGGCTTAACATTCCCGTAGGGATAGCAATGTAAACGCCAACAGTGTGTCTTTTGATTGAAAAGAAAAGAAAATATAATTTCTTTTACTACAACACTTAAACATAACAATGTGATTTTTCGTTTGAAACTTATATTATTGAGAAAAAGAAAGAATTAAAACAGATGAATTTATATGAGGTTATAAAAAGATGTAGTATGTTTTTGACATGATTTGATTTCTGGTTACAACAATGACAAATACAAAGGCGTAACGATGTGTTTATGTGTAAATAAAACATATAAATTCATAAACATATATATATATACATACACAAACAGATTATTATGTAGCGAAAAAGGCAACTTCCTGTAACCTTCAAGCCTGAATATTGTTATTGTAATTTATCTTTCTTTATAAACCATTTAGCATATAAGGTTATCAGTAAATTCTCATTGTGGTTCATTATCTAGATTGTTGATCTTTAATATTATTCATCTCTCAAACGACAGCATGACTTTACATCTTTAATGCTCCGGGAGGTTCCAGTAACACTACGGGAACTTCATGGAAGGGAAAACCCTATATCATTTTGATCTACCTAGGCATCGCAAGGAATTCCCCTCGGCCACATTTGATACTTATGGTTACAGAAGTATTTTCAGGAGATGGATTCGTTCTATACTTGAAATATTGTTTCGTAACCATTGTTGTTCATACGAATCTTAGAAACAACATTTTCAATTACGCGAATAAATATCAAGAACATATAAATTATGACAAAGAGAACACCGCTGCGCTGTTGTAAGTCTTCCTAAAATTTTCAAAGATTGTTACACTGCGAAGCCGCGAGTAGAGGCATGTTTAATTACATAACGAGGACGGGTGTCAAGTAACGTTGAAACCATGATGGCGTTTAATTATCACGA